TTCACATTTTGGAGCACTGGGTTGAAGTCTGGTCCCTCTTTCCCTGTGGAGATATAAACAATACCCTCCCCTTGGGTGGGTTAGTGCCCTGTGCCTCCACTACCCATTTCTTTATTATTATTTTTTTTCCCTTTCCCCACCTCATTTTTAGTTGTCTACCATGTGTATCCCTGTATTTGATCTGGTCCCTGACATATTACCTGGTCCTCACCCCAGGAATGTTTGTATACAGTAGCTTTTTCCCTGTGCCCCTTTTGCATTTTTTTTAAAGCTTACCTCAGTGGACTCATTTTGTACTTGTCCTTTTGTGCTTGACTTACTTCGCTTAGCATGATTTCTTCCAGTTCTTCCCATGCAGCGATGTGCTTCATACGTTCATCACTCCTTTTTAGCGATGCGTAGTACTCCATTGTCTGTAAATACCACAGTTTTTTAATCCACTCATCAGTTGATGGGTATTTGGGTTGCTTCCAACTCCTTGCAAGTGTGAACTGTGTCGCAATGAACATTGGAGCACTGCATTTGTTTCTTAGGGCTTGTTGTTGTGTCCTGTCAAGATGATTTCAACTCGTAGTCATCCTATCTGATAGAACTGAGCTGCCCAGAGTTTTCCCGGCTGTAATTGCGAAAGGTGGCGATCCCCAGGTCTTGTCTCCCGGGGCCATGCCCGTGGGTTTGAAGCACTGACTGTGTAGTTCACAGTTGAGTGCATAACCGTGGAAGCTCCGGGGCTGCTCTCAGAAAAGATCTCAAACTGGATGGATGGAAACAACAGAAATGTGTTCTCTTGTCCCTCTGCAGGTAGAGGTTTGAAATCAGGTCTTGGCTGGGCCATGCTCTCCCTGCAGCTGTTGCTGCCTGTCTCTTCCTTTCTGAGGCTGCTGGCAATCTTTGGCTTTCCTTGGCTTATAGCTACATCATTCCAACCCTGTCTCCATTGTGGCATGGTATTCTCCCTGAGAGTCTGTATCTCTTTGTATAAGAACACCAGACATATTGTATTTAGGCCTATCCTAATTCCATAAGACTTCATGTTGATGAAATATGCAAAGACTTCATTTCCAAACAAGATTACCTTCACAGGGGCGGGGTTTAGGACTTCAACATACCTTTTGGGGGGGTGGACAGAAACAATCTACAACAGTCACCCTTGTATCACATCTCTCTCAAAGTTTTCTGGATTTATTTCTCATACTAAGTGCTTCCTGTGACAAAGCCACATATCATAAATTTTAGAATGGCATTTAGAAAACCATATAGAAGAGGATCACCAGTCCTCCAATATGAATCTCATTTTCTTGACAAATAGATTAATTTATACAGTTGTCTTAAATTTTCCATTTGTTCAATCAATATTTATTCAATGATCAGGATGTTGCCACCACTCTTCTAAATGATGAACAGGCAGCAATGAAAGAAGGAGACATGGTTCTTGCCCTTGTGGGGCTTATATTCTAGCAAGGAGAAAAGAAATCTGCAGCTTCTAAAAAAATCACACACACACACCAGAACCCAAACAAAACACCTTTCTCTACTATCAAGTCAATTCTGGCTCATAGGGATTTTACTTAGGGTTTCTGAGCCTGTAAATCTTTATGGGAGTAGATAGCCTCATCTTTCTCCCATGGAGTGGTCGGTGGGTTTGAACTGCTGACCCTGAAGTTAGCAGCCCTATACATAACCCACTACACCACCAGACATAACCCACTATACCACCAGTGGTACACTACATGTGTGTATATATTTTTGTCAGCATATGTACTTTTTTATTGTGTGTGTGTGTGTGTGTGTGTGTACACACACACACACACACACACATGCACACACAGCCATGCATTAATTAATGCTTGAACTGTCACCTGTACAATAGGTCATTACATGATTTGGACATTATGAAAACATCATATTATATGCAAATAGTCCCTGGATTGTGAACAAGTTCCATTCTTGGTGTCTTTTTTTTTCCCTTTTAAGCATTTTATTGGGGGCTTGTACAATGCTTATCACAATCCATACATACATCCATTGTGCCAAGCACATTTGTGCATTTGTTGCCATCATCATTCTAAAACCATTTTCTTTCTTTTTTTTAATTTTCTTTCTACTTAAGCCCTTGGTATCAGCTCCCCATTGCCCCTCTCCCCCTCTATTCCCCCCACCTATGAACCCTTGATAATTCATAAATTATTATTTTGTCATATCTTACACTGTTTGACATCTCCCTTCTCCCACTTTTCTGTCTTTAAATCACACCTGCACATAAGTTAGAACAGTTGGGTTGTGTTCCTAGCTATTATCAGTTAGTCAGAAGTTTGACTGGGGAGATAGTATGCAAAGAGGCTAGAGAAGGTTTGTGGAAGTTTTCCATTATCTTTTCAGTGGGATTTAAAAATTTTTACATTTTATCAGTTTCATTAGCATATCATATTTCACATATAATTAAATAGTTTAAATAAGATTAAAAAGAGTAGTGTAATTCTCACCTCAATTGGTTTTAGAAGATTTCCTTCATTTTTGTATTCATTATTAGCTTCCCATTTTCCCCAAACCTCACTGGTATAAGCCTAAGAAATTATTAGTCCAGTTACTGCCTCTCTATAGATTTACCTATCCTGAATTTCATACAAAGAAAAACACACCCAAAAAACCCTCAACAACAATAACCAAATAAAACACACAAAAAGCCTCAATAGAACAAAAAGCAGAAAGTAATAAAACTAGAACAAAACTGAAACAGGTCAAAAGGGAGAACCAATGATAAGATGTTAAGTTTTCACCTACCTGCATCTGCATTCGTCCATTTCCCAATGTACTCTGTCAGCAAAGCTAGTCCCACTCCTCCTCAATAGTCAGAGGATATTCTCTGTAGGCTTAATTCTAGTAGGGACCCTCCAAGGAATTTCGGGCTTTCGCTGTCATTCATGTGGTTGTTGTTAGGTGCCACCAAGTCCGTTCTAACTCCTAACAACTCTATGTACCACAGAATGCAACATTGCCTGGTCCTGCACCATCCTCACTATTATTCTTACGTTTCATCCCATTGCTGCAGCCACTGTGATGATCCATTTTGTTGGGTACTTTCATCTTTTTGCTCTGCCTGTAAATGATGTCCTTCTCCAGGGACTGGTCTCTCCCAACAGCATGTCCAACGTACATAAGATGAAGTCTCGACACCCTTGCCTCTAAGGGGCGTTCGGGCTGTACTTCTTCCGAGACAGATTCGTTAGTTCTTTTGGCAGTCTGTAGTACTTTCTTTCTTTTTCCCCCCGTAGTACTTTCGATATTCTTCCCCAGCACCATAATACAAATCCATCAATTCTCCTGTCTTCCTCACTCAGTGTCCAACTTTGCATGCATATGAGGCAATTGAAAATACAATGGTTTGGATCATGTGCACCTTAGTCCTCAAAGCAAGCTCATTGCTTTTCAACACTTTAAAGAGATCTTGTGCAGCAGATTTGCCCAGTGCAATGTGTCACCTGATCTCGTGACTGCAGCTTCCATGAATTTTGATTATGGACGCAAGCAAGATGAAATCCTTGACAGCTTTGATCTTTTCTCCATTTATCATGATGTTGCCATTGGTCCAGTTATGAGGATTTTGGTCTTCTTTGCATGGAGTTGTAATCTGTACTGAAGGCTACAATCCTTGATCTACATGATCTTCATCAGCAAGTGCTTCAAGTCCTCCTGATTTTCAGTAAGCAAGGTTGTGTCATCTGTATATCACACACTGTTAATAAGGCTTCCTTGGATCCTGATGCTGCATTCTTCTTCATAGAATCCCCTTTCTCTGATGATTTGCTCAGCATAAAGACTGAATAAGTATGGTGAGAGGATACTACCTTTTCGCGCGGCTTTCCTGATTTTTTTTTTTTTAAATATGGAATGCTTCACGAATTTGCGTGTCATCCTTGCGCAGGGGCCATGCTAATCTTCTCTGTATCGTTCCAATTTTAGTATATGTGCTGCCGAAGCGAGCACCACCTTTCCTGATTTTAAACCACACAGTGTACCCTTGTCTTATTCACACAAGGGCCTTACCCATGTACAGGTTCTTCATGAGCACAATTAGAGGTTCTGGAATTCCCATTCTTCTCAAGGCCATCCATAGTACTTTATGATCCACATCACTGAATACATTGCATAGTTAGTGCCATTCATAGCCTTCTGCAAAGCAGGTGCTCAGAATTTGAACTTTAATGCAGTCCTGTCTTGGATTTTATTATTTATAATCCTTGGATCACATGGGTTGCTGTGTTTCTTCTGTGTGGATTTAGCTGACACCTCACTTAGATGGCTGCTTGTTTTAAAACAAGCCTTTATGCTATTCTTTCTGACAGCTGGCCATTATCTGATTTCTTCACCACTCTTTACTACAACGCCCTTATCTTCAGCGATCTCTTCATGAGAGCAAGTAGAGCCACATCATAAGAATTAGTTAGGTTATTAGGGCTATGATTAAGTGCGAGCTCAAAAGCCATTCATATAGCTATGATTTTTCGAAGTCCTTGGTTCTGTGGAATTCCTGAAGCCCCCTTGTATAGTGAGCCTTTCTATGCATAAAAAATGGTAAAGAAACTCCTCCAGATAGACTCAAATATCTTCAAAATACAGAAATAACAATGGTGCTTTGATGTATGTAGCAAAGTAGCATCCTTTTGTTATTATCAACCATTGTATGTACCTTAAAATTTTAATATAACAGGCTTCGTGGAGATTGAGACCATGGATATACAGGAGGTCGGATGTTGCTCAAACAGAAGTCATGCAGCATATTACTATCTATCTCTATAGTAGTTCTAAACAACCAGCCAGCTCCACAGGAGAAAGAGAGGGCTTTTCTACTCTGGTAAAGACAGTTTGAAAACCCACAGCAGCACTTCTACCCTGTCCTTTGGGTCGCTAGGAGTCAGAATTAGCTCGATGACTATGAGTTCTGAGCGTTTATCATCTATCTGTATTTAGTAGTAATTTCAGTAGTAATAAGTTCCGTGCAAGATAAGAAGATAGAGATGAAAGGAGATGGGTCAGTAGTGTGGCTCTGTCCAAATATAACAACTAGGGAACACCTTCTGAAGAGGTGTCATTTGATCAGAGACGGAAGGAAGAGGTAAAACAAACAAACCAATATGGAGCATAGAACAGTTGGGATAAACTGTAGTCCCTATTTTGGGGGCACTTTAATTGGGGTATAGCTTTGGGTGCCCTAAGTCAGCAGGCGGGAATATCTTTTAAGACTGGAATGGGCAGAAGAGATAGTTAGATGGGTTTCAGAAAAAGTGTGAAGAAAGGGTCCTATGCAAGCACCACATTACATACAGCTTTATTTTAATTTTTATTTTAATGTCATCTTTCTTCTCTCTTCCCACAGCTCACTAAGAAGACTCAGACTTATACCTTCACCATTAGCCAAAGTGTGCTGGTCACCAACCTGAAACCAGCAGCGATAAAAATCTATGACTACTACTTACCAGGTAAGGGCTGCTGAACTTTTACCCGAATCTCCCTCCATATCCCTGCCTCATTCTTCATGGCACCTTGTCAAGTTTACAAATGCTTCTTCCCAACAAACAGCATAGACTTACATGATGTAGTCCTAATGTTTTCATTCAGTTCCATGCCATTTTTACAAGAGTCTTCTACCCTAGAGACATTTTGCATACTGTAGCCCATGAGTGAGAAAAAAAACCACACTGTGGACCAATGTTTCTCTAATATTTGAATATTATTATTCTCCAATATTATGTTAATATCCTTCATGGTTTTGCTGCAATGAAGAACTGATGGGATCATTTCATTTTTTAATTTGCCACAAGTATGCGCATGTGAGTGATTGGAACTTTACATCTGAATATGCCACACCCTATAGGGGTCCTCTGTAAAGGGCTACGGTAGGGTTTCTCTCTGAATGAAGGAAGCCCTCAATGTGATCATGTGCACTGTTGCATTTTACAGATGAGCAAGCGACAATTCAGTATTCTGATCCCTGTGAATGAGGTGAGCTTGACAGAAACAGGGTGGAGGCTGTGGCTGGGGGTGGGTGTGGGTGGGGGAGGGGGCTGTCTTGGGTGTGGAGGTGTGGGGCCCCAACACTCGAACAGGTCCTCAGGAGTGACTTTGCAATGGTGGAAAATACTAGAGACAGACAGACAGCGGGCACAGGGCTCCTCATCCCTATGTCAGGACTGAGAGGGTGAATGGTGCCAATGGGTATATAGAAGGGGGCTTACAGATCTTTCATAAGGCATACACGTCATATGGTGAACATGTTACACAGTTAATGGGTAATGTCGTAAGTGGGCAACATAATGAACAATGAACAACCTGGCATCTTGACCTAGTGTTAGTCTACCTCGGATGCCCCTGAGACCTCCCCAGGGGAGCAATCTGTGATCAGTAGCAGCAAGAGATGTCAGAAGAGGTTTTCTACATTTTATGGTGGGTTGGGCTATAGAACCTGACTGCTCTTATCTACAGATAACCTCCATTTCCCCCCTAATTATTTATAGATAATATACCTTCGTTACATGAAAATACGAAGATTAAAAGCAGTGGTTACCTGATTTTGCACACTTGAGAAATAGCACTACTCATGACCTCACGATGCCTTGATGAAACTCTTTTCTATATTCCCTGGCCTTTCTTAAAGGGAGAAGCCCTCTCCAAGTGTGAGGACCTCCTGAATATCTTCTTTTGTTTCAGGATGGAATCTGGAGAGATACAAATAAATCCTCTGTGTCATTACTAAGTGATGTAGCATTCTTTCAACTCTTCAAAGCACATATTCAATCTAATTTGATTTCTCTGATTGACAAAGGAGCAGACTTGAACCTCAGCTGCTTCATTCAACTGCAGATGCACTGATGCGCAAGCGGTGGGGAAGCCGGAACAGGGACAATCACTCAAAGGGAGAACTTGAGAGGGAGTTCATGCGGGAGGGAGGTGTGGGATAGCCATAGGGCCAGCCCTTCAGGGGTGCTGATAAAGAGCCCTCCAGGAAAGTAAGACTGTCTTCTTCAAGGTTATGTCTGAGGGAAGATGTGACTTAGGGCTTTTACTCTAGGCGAAATAAATGAATTTGGTTCAGAAAGGAAACACCTTTCACCTTGTTCTATGATGAGGTATGTCAATCCTGGGGATTCTGTTTAAAGATGCTGGTCATTCTTGAACAAAAACTCACAATGTTGGCTTGGCTTTAGACCCTTGATCCAGATCTCTCCCAGAATCATGCTGAGGCTAGGGGTCAGTGGACCAGTCAACAAGCTGGCAACTTTGACTCCTGCTGACCCATGGGTGTCTGGTGGAAGTGCTTGCCACTGGGTTTTCAGTGGCTGGTTTTTCAGAAGTACATCACCAGAGCTTTGTGCCCAAGTGTCTCCAGGGGGACTCAGACCTCCAGCCCTTGAGTGAGCTGTAGAGGGTGTGGACCGTCTGCGCCACCCAGCACTCTGTGAATCAGAGTTGAGAATGCTAATTAAGGGGGCTCTGTTCCACCAGCTGGAGAGTGGAGGGCAAACAGTGGGCTTCCACTTCTCTACTTCCCAGCTGTCAGCTCCCCTCAGCCTTTCTCTACCTTTGTGTAAGCCCTTGGAGGGATGTGTTGGTTTTGTAAACAGAGGTTAGGGATTAAAAAGATTCTGGGGGAAAGAAGAGTTTGTTTAAACAGAGAAGAATCACTGGGCAGTGGCACCTTTCTATCCTAGATATCTGCCCTCTAATTGCTCCCCTGGATCTTAAAGTCTGATGGAAAGAATCCACTGCCATCCAGTCGATTCCCACCCATCGGGATCCGGTAGGACAGAGTAGACCTGCACCTCAGACTGTCCGCAGAGGCTGAGAGACACACTCACCTTTCTCCCTCAGCATGGCTGCTGGGTTTGAACCCGATCTTGTAGTTAGCAGGCCTGGGCTTAATCCACAGTGCCATTGAGGTGCCAACAGGGAAAAATCAGTCCACTCTGAAGAGATTATTTCCCTAAAACCAGACCTGTATTTGCACATTCCCCGTCTCCTCCACCCTCCAGGCTCTGATTGATACTGCTTATTGTGGTTAGTTGCCCTCTGGTGGATTCCTACTCTTCCCAGAAGTTCTCAGAGTAGGGAGAGATGGGTGGGCAAGATACTCATAGGAGGTCATCCACATGCCCACCTTAGCTCTCCACATCTGGGGAACAGAACAGAGACGATCCTGGAAAAAAGGAAGTCTGGCATGAACGTGCCCCAAAGTTTCACACACACACACACACACCCCTCTACTTATATTGCTTAGCTCACTGAAATGTAAGCATTGTGCTTTATTGAGAAGCAGGGTTATTTGAAGAATTAAGTGGCATTGAGCTTAATGTGAGTGTTACAGAACTTACTAGAGGTAACCCCTAAAGAGCAGAATTTTTTCCCTAAGCTATGTATGTATTTAAATTTTTTAACAAAACAACCTATCACCTTCAAAGTACTCTCTATTACACTTAATACATTTTTCAAATCTACGATTCCATTCTTGGAAACATTTTTTCAAACTCATCTATTTGGATGGCTGACAACACCTCCCTCATTTTTTTCTTTGCCTCTACTAAGTCATTAAATCCTGTCATGCCCCTCTTCATTTGCAGAAACAAAAAGAAGCCACACAGAGTGAGGTCAGGTGAGTCAGGTGTGTGGGGCAAAAGAGGCATGCTGATTGGGGCCCAAAACTGGTGCACTGAGATGGATGCGTGAGCAGGTGCATTGTTGGGGTGACAAAATCAGTCCCCCATCTGCCACAAATCATGCCTTTTTTTGTCACACACTGTTCCCCAATCTTTTCAGAACCGCTAAATAGATAGCTTGATTAACAGTCTGACCTGGTGGCACAAATGAGTATCATCTTGATCTTTGATTTTACTTGACCAGCTTTTTTTTTGGCAAGGTGGTGGTGGTGTCTTCCACTGGCTTGATTGATGTTTGCTTTTGGAGTGGTAAGAATAGCACCATGAAATATATGAAAGAATTAGGAGGCAAAAGACATTTATAGAGGTATAAACATTGGCATGTACCTATGTAAATATATTAATGTATAACAATAGAGATATCGATCTATGTACATAAGTATTAAGGTAGCAGATGGACATTGGGCCCCTACTCAAGTACTCCCTTATGCAAGGACACTTTATTCTAATAACCTGGCATTCTGTGATGCTCACCTGCCTGACATGATGGCAGAAGACAAAATGGGTGCATAAGCTAACATGGTGAAGAAAGCTGATGGTGCTTGGCTATTACAAGACATAGCATCTGGGTTCTTAAAGGACTGAAGTTAAACAAACAGCCATCTAGCAAGGAAGCAATAAAGCCCACATGGAAGAAGCACACACCAATCTATGTGATCAAGAGATGTCGGTGGGATCAGGTATAAGGGATCAGAAGATCCAAACAAACAACCATTTTGATGGGAACAAGGGGGGTCGGAATGAAGACCCAAAGTCCATCTGTAGACAATTGGACATCCTTTCACAGAAGGGTCACAAGGAAGGGACAAGCCAGCCAGGGTGCAGTAGCACCAATTAAACCCACATTACTCTTGTTCTTTCATGCTTCCTCTGACCCCCACTATCATGACCCCAGTTCTGCTTTACAAATCGGGCTAGACCAGAGCACGTACACAGGTACAGATAAAAGCTCTTGACACACAGAATCCAAGACAATAAGGAGAGTAGTGATACCATGAAAGTAGGGGGAAGGTGGGGTAGAAAGGGGGAACTGATCACAATGATTAACATACAACACACACACACCCACACACACCCCCCAGGAGGATGAACAACAGAAACATGGGTGAAGGAGACAGTGGATGGTGTAAAATATGAAAATAAAAATAATGCATCAATTATCAAGGGTTTACAAGAGTGGGAAGGTAAAAAGGAAAAAAGAGGAGCTGATATCAAGGGCTCAAGTGGAAAGAAAATGTGCTTTGGAAATGATGAAGGCAACATATGCACAAATGTGCTAGATACAATTGATGTATTGATTGTTATAAGAGCTGTAAGAGCCCCAATGAAATGATTTATTAAAATAACAACAACCAAAAAAGAATAGCACTATATCTCATCACCAGTAATGACCATAGAAAAAAAGTCTGGGTTGCTTTGGAGCTGTTCTTTCAAAGCACAGCATCTTTCCATTCGACGCTTTTTTCCTGCTCAGTCAGAACCAAGGCACAAATTTCTCATTGATCCTTCTCATTCCCAAATCTTCCATTAAAATTTGCTGAACCAAGCTCCAAGATAATCCGGATAACTTCCCCATCTCTTCAATGGTCCGTCACCTGTCTTTGAGCACAAGTGCATGAATTTTGTCAACATTTTTGTCTATTCAGGAAGTTGACAGATGTCCACAAGAGATTTTTCATCAATCTACATTTCACCTTTTTTGAAATGAGAAAACTACTCATACACTTGAGTTTTTCCCATAGTGGATCCTAAACTGTGTTCAACATCACAACAGTTTCTGCAGCATTTTTCCCGAGTAGGAAACAAAATTTCACAGACACACACTGTTCTCTTA